GATAAATGTGTTTCCTTGTAGATAGTAATGCTAAATTAGAATTCTTAGTGAGCTTAATTTTCTCATATCCTAAAATCATAAACTGAATGTTTGATAAGGAAAAGTGATTAGTATAGAAGAAATGGCATTCACAATTGCTGTCAGTCTACTCTTATGAATTTACTAAATCATAATACTCCCAAAAGTAATGTATGAAAATAATTATTCACTAAAGACAAGACATGTGAATACATCTCTTCAAAAATATGCCCTTAGAATTAGTTTCATTTGGACATAACCTCTTAAGAAACTCAAAATTTTTGAGAGTTTGAGAAATTTCATATTCAAACTCCTAAATTATACATTTAGGAGAATTTTTAAGGAAAGAACTTCCAAACATTTCTGCTTATTGAATCAGATAAAGAATGAGGAAATAACTTGGATACACCAGTAAAATGGTCACTTTAACATATGTTCATTCAAATATTGTCATTGCCTCCCTCTGCTTCATGTAGCCTTGGAGCAAATGATCACACAAAAGACAGGCATCTGGATGAAGATGGGCCAATGACACAACATGGCTTTTACTTCCTTTGCTACTATAGCTATTCTTTCTGATACCTGTTAGCTTAATTGAAAGAAGCCACTTTGTAAATTCACCTCAGGTAAATAAAGGAAATAAAAATATACTCTTGAGAACCTCAATCATTTCTGTTTCTGCCATCTTCAGTTTAGAACTTTGGTGAACATACTCTTTAATAAGCATAACCATTTGTGCAAACCCTGAGGGCAATTTAGATGCAGGCTTAGCTAAAGGGTGAGGGATTCTTTTTCATGTGATTTTAAAAAATTATTTTTTTAAAAGAAGATTTAATTTATTCCTTCATGAGAGACACAGTGAGAGGCAGAGACTTAGGAAGAGGATGGAGCAGTTTTCCTGTGGGGAGCCTGATGCAAGACTCAATCCAAGACCCTGGGATCACACCCTGAGCCAAGGCATCAGGCATCTGCTCAATCACTGAGCCACCCAGGCATCCCAATTTTTAAATTTTTATTTAAATTCAATTTGCCCATATACAGTATAACATCCAGTGCTCATCTCATCATGGGCCTGCATTAATGCCTGTCACCCAGTTACCCTATTCTCCCACCCACTTCCCCTTCTCAACTCTTTGCTTGTTTCCCAGAGTTAGGAGTCTCTCATGGTGTATCTTTCTCTTTATTTTTTCACCACTCAATTTCCCCCCTCTCCTTATGGTCCCTTGAACTATTTCTTATATTCCATATATGAGTGAAACTATATGATAATTGTCATTCTCCAACTGATTTATTTCATTCAGCATAATACCCTCCAGTTCCATCCATGTGAGATAAATGGTAGGTATTCATCTTTTCTGATGGCTGAGTAATATTCCATTGTATATATATATATATACCACATCTCCTTTATCAATTCATCTGTTGAAGGACATTGTAGCTCCTTCCACAGTTCAGTTATTGTGGACATTGCCACTACAAACATTGGTGAGTGATTTTGAAGAAAAATGTCTCCATGGAAATTTTCAGGTTAGAGCTAAGGGAGCTAGTTTGTGTTTAAACAAGATTTTTAAAAACATTTACTAGGTTTAAAAAATTGTACTTCTCTCTTTTAGTTGAATATAAACATTACCTTCACTAATTGATTCTGTAATTGGTGGCTTTGTGTTGAAATGTGTGTTTTTCCTCTTATTAGCTATTAGCCAGTTGAATACCAACTGGTTAAGAATGAATGAACCATGGAGCATGACATTTGTTTTTGTTCTGCTATCACTAGCTTCTCTGTGAAATATAATCTTTTAGCAGGGAGGTAGAAAAAAGTGTGTTTAACTTAAACATCTGATTTGGAAGCTGAATATAGATCCTGTTTGGTTAGGCCACTGAAGTCATTTAAATTAAATAGATGGGGATGTCACTGAGAAATTCTAGGTCCTTAAAAGGTTTAGAATCTAAAAGACATTAAAGCATTCATTTAGCAAAGATAATATTCATTCTTAGTTAAGATAATATTTTACGTATGTTTTTTTCTTTTCTTTTTTTTAGAAATGCAGTATCCTTATATTTTTCACTTACTCTGAATTAAGTTGAATATGAATGCCATATTTTATAATTTGTATTCAAGAAAAACTTAAACAGGTGAGGTTCAGGAGTTCAAGAGATAAATTTAACTCTTATGTAAACATTTGCAATAAATCCAAAGTTGACAAATATTCTGGCACTTAATATATTTAAGGTTTAAATCTTCTTGAATTTTGTATTCAAAATAACCTTCAAGCATTTACATAAATGCTATGAACCAAAAATAAAGGGCCTCAGAGGACAGGCCTAATCTCCATGTATATGTGAACCATATTATATCGGGCTAGGTATACAATATATATATGCTAGTGAAACTGCTTGATGATAGGTCTAAAGCACCATTATATTTGACAGAAGTATTTTTTCATTCTTCTAGACACATCTTATGACATTAAAAATGTTCAATGTAACTATTAAAATAGAATAAGACAAGTATTTTGAGATAAAATAAGTATTTGTTCTGTGATTTAACATTTATCTTTTCTCTTTTTCTTTTTTCTTTTTTTTTTTTTTTGATATCTTTTTTTCTTTTTTAAAAGAGGTTTCCTGAACATGGTTGCTTGGGTCAAATCATGGGTCTTCTTCTCATGAGCTATGTAAGCCTAGGCAAGTCATGTAAGCTCTGTACTATGTTTTTTTGTTTTTGTTTTTTAACTGTAAAAGAGCTTATAGCATTATTTTTAGGACTAAATATGTGCATAGATATACATATATACATATATATGTGTGTATGTACATATACACACAATGCATATACACACAAGTGCTTGAAACAGAGTAAGCACAATATTAGTGACTTATTTTTATTGTACTTACCGTGGTATAGAAAGGTAATGGAAAAAATAACCAAGTTTTCATAGTTGTCCCTTTCTTATTTTCTGCTTTGGTTTGACCAAACTTTAGACAGGTATCTCTGTTTCTTACAAGCCCCGAGTCCTGTTTGCCCCTAAGCTATAAGCAAGCACTAATAAAGTAGAACATGTCTCCTTCTCAAGGTCTCCTGGGAATCATCTGTCTGCAGTGAGACACTTTTTTTTGGTAGACCTCACTGTTCATTTATCTTGCTTGTCCAGTTTCTTAAAATATTCTGTTTTCCCTTAACAACAACAAAAACATTCATTTATCTGTTGAGTTTTAAGAACCTTGTAGATTTCTTAGATCAGAGTCTTCTCCCTATTCTGAGTAAAGTCTCTCCCTAAGTCCAGATTTGCTTTCATTTGACATATATATATATATATATATATATCATTTTCATTTGACATTTATATATGTATATATATATCTTTTAATAGAAATAATACATTCCATTGCTAATTATATTGTGATTATGTTTTTATATCTACTATTGCTGTGTTTTGTTTTAAAATTTAATGACCCAGTGTTTTCTGAACAGGAAAATGAGTTCACCCCCAGAGTTCTGTAAATAGAGACCTAATTTTTTTGAAACCAATACATTTTCCTATTTGTAGGATAGCTACATTAGATAAAAGTTGCCAATATTTCTGTTGTTCAAAATTCTCGACTTTTAAATAACTGAACAGGCCCATTTCTAAAGTTACAGAATGGTTGAGAATGTTAGAATACTAAAATCTCTAGAACTTCTCTCCCTCTCTCTCCCTCTCTCTTATTCACTTTATATAGCTAGTAATATTTTACTACCTTTTTTTCCCTCCTTTTAATTTGAAATCTCTTTTATGATCTTTTGCTTCCTTGGAGTAGCTGACTCTCAAAAAGACATCACTCAAAAGCCACAGTGATAATTTAGACAGGCATTTGAAAACTGTCAGATATATATATATATATATATATATATATTCATTGAAAATTCTCTAGTGCATTATTTTAGTTTATTTCTCAAATATTAATAAGATTTATTTTGACATTCTAGACAGGATTTATTTTCAGGTAGTTCTCACCCTTGATAAAGACATTCAGGACTAACATTTCTGACATAACCGAGACCACCCTTTGGCAAGTTCCCTTTCAAACACAAAATTTGGTCTCTTAAACTAGACTAGGATACATCCATCTTAAAGATTATGCTCCCATTTAACCTAGCATAAAGTTATGGTAACATTTTGGTTCTAATATCACAGCTTTTAACACTTGTTGAATTTAGTTTCCAAAATATCTTCCATCAGAAGCTCAAGGGAAAATTTCTTTCACCCCCACAACATGGTGAGGAGACCAATTCATAATTCTATGAAAGATTAAATGCCAGTGAACAGTTCAAAAACTGTTTATTTTAGTGGTGTTGTAGTTTAACTAATGAGGTAACTAAAATTTAACAATATGTTTGAGATAGTTTATTTTTTAAACCGAGAAAACCAATTTTTTCTAGACAACTAGACTATCCATATATATAAGCAGAACTTAAAATTTTCACCTTGAAACATGACATCCTAAAACTTTGAATATCAATTTATTGATTAACTATGTTTAGTTTAGTTATCCTACTTTCCTTGTGATCCTATCAGATATCATCATGCTTCATATTCACGGATTTTTGCTGTGAAAGCCAAATTGTGAATTGACAACGAAATAAATGGTCCCTTTTATTGCTAAAATTAATAATAAAATAACTATTCACAGAATATTCACAAAGTAATGCTTTAAGCAGAATGTTGTTTTGGCACAGTGGGAAAAGAAAAGTGTTGGTCAAAAATAAAATTAATTAAATTAAATTAAATTAAATTAGTTTGAAAATTGCATCCAGGACTGTGTAAATGATACATAATGTGGATACAGTTCAGTTTGAAGATCTTTTAAGGTAGAATCACAACATATGTCATCTTAAATACTTATAGTTTTAAGGCCATGGAGTAAATACTGTGGCTTCAAAATATTAAGAAAAAAATAGTACAATATATTTTGAAATCAATTTTCTTTTAAATTTATAATCTTACCTTCCCTGCTGTTTTCCCCTCAGAGTTCCACTGATTTAGGATAAAATGGAGGCAAAGGAAGCAAAGGAAAACAAAACAAAACAAAATTGAAAATCAGCTCTAATTTGTTATTGCAAATATATTTCTTAATGCCAATATTCTATATCCAATAGTAAAAAATTCTGTTCTTCTGAAACTGTCTTCAACTTCTGCTTTCTTCAGTCATTTCATAAGGGGATATCATGACATTATAAATCTCATGTGCCAGTATGAGAGCTATATAAGAAATCTTGGATCAGCATTACAAAACTCAGTTATATATTTAGCCTACATAGGCTTTTGTGAAGAAAAGGCATGCCTCCAATTAGATATTCTCTTACTTATATTACTTATTTTTCATTAATTTTTAATGAATAAGCCTTTACCTCAAGCATGAATGCATTTCTTAAAAAAAGAACTAGGTTGGTTGGAATACATGAATTAGGAATAAACATAAGAAACATCTAAAAGACATTAAGTATTATCTCTAAGTGTTAATTTTGGTAGTTCTTAGGAACACCTTAATTAGACTCTGTTCAACTGAATTATGTTCTTTTTTTTTCCTCATTGTATCTCTGGTATTTGGTTATTTTGTTCCTTTTTACTTAAAACTTCTTTTTTAAAATTCCCTTTCAACCTCAGGAGACAAGTTAAATTAATTTTCAAGACTCCAAAAACATTTAGGCCATTAGTCCCTTCTTCATTCTTCTTTGTAGAGGATGAATATACCATATCATAAATGATCAAATTTCTACATTTCTAGCTACTTTTGCTCCCAAAAGTCTTTTCTCCTAAAATTTTATCTCCATTTCTTGTCATTTTAACAGCTACATAAAATGTTCTCTGAGAGCTTCCTTGATTACAATGAATCACAAGAAAAAAAGGGGGGTAGAGCTGGGTTGATTTTGAAATAAGGGTAAATACAAAGACAGATACAATTAACATAGCCAGAGATAGCTCTATATTTTTAACAACTTATTCTCAGAAAGTATGCATTTTTTCCTGTCATTTTAACGTAACTTGTGTTCACAACATGGACATTTAAGCAAGTATCTAGACATGGGCAAAAATCATTTATTCAAGAGATCAAAGTGTACTTTTTTTCACCCGTTCCATTTTGGGTATTGATGTTTACCCTAAGATATTCACACTTTTCTTGTGTTGAACAAATTCAACCTTCAATGGCTCAGTATTAGAATTATATTCATGAAGGGATAGCCTTAAAATGATGACTTCCATATTCTCTTTCAAGAAAATATCCATGGTTTCAATGCCTTTAAATAATAGATATCTACATCTCTTATCATTATGAATGATAATTCTTAAATAATAGGTTAAGGGCAGCCGGGTGGCTCAGCAGTTTAGTGCCACCTTCAGCCAAGGGTATGATCCCAGAGACCTGGGATCCAGTCCCACAATGGGTTCCCTGCGTGGAGCCTGCTTCTCTCTCTGCCTGTCTCTCTCTCTCTCTCTCTGTGTGTGTCTCTCATTACTAAATAAATAAATAAAAAACTTTAAAAAAATAGGCTAAAATTTTCAACTTTCTAATAGAAATAAAGTCATAAACAAAAACAAAAAAGTCTTTAAGGATATAATATTAAAATACTATTCTCTATTTTGTGGCAGCACAATAGATCTTTTTATGGTTGTACCATTAAGATTTACTTGCAATAACAACAGATTTTATTTTTTTCTTTTAAATTTTTTTATTGGAGTTCAGTTTGCCAAAATATAGCACCCAGTGCTCCTCCTCACCACAGTAATGAAAAAAGACAAGTTCAGAATGTGTTTGTTTCCCTAAATTTTATATTTTAACTAAAAGCATTCCCTGTGCTATGCTACTTTTGCTTTTATTTGAAAATTGTTATCGTGAAAAGGTTAAAATAGATCAAGTGGGAAATATCAAAAAGGATCGTCTTTGCATTAATCCACATCACAGATACAACACAATCTGCCACCATAAGTAGGTCCTATTTGGTAACATCCAGATGAGCATTAGAATTAAAAGTAAGCATAGAAATATATTGTCAGGCATGTTAATAGGATCACAAATTGATACCAGTTTTGATGATAGAAACATTAAAAAAATAATAAATGCTGGAAGAAAAAAAAAACATGCCGAAAAGCAATTCCTACTTTGACAGAGACATGGATTTTTAATCTCCTTATTTAAAAATTGACCCCAAAATAATCAACACTAAATCAACAAAATCGTTGTCCAAACTAAATTATATATAGTGAGGGAGGGAAAAAAAATAACAGGTCTGAATGTTATAAGCTCAGAATTTTCCAATAGTATATATTTGTCATGTAGTTTCATATGTTCTTATTAACCTCCTGATGTGAACAAGTTCTTACTACTGTTGTGGAGGGAGACCTTCCTCTGCTTTATGGTCCTTCTAGCTGGACATAAAATCAAATTGACAAGAGACAGATTAATGGAAGAAAATAAAATGTAGTAGGGATAAGGACAAACCACATAGACAATGAAATTCTAAAGAATGAGGCAACATGAAGTTTATATGAACTAAGGAGAGGGGTAGGGTCTGGATATAGAAAGGGGAGAGGGCCATTAGCAGGAAAAGGAAAGGACATATTTCAAAAACACAAATGTTTCCCTATAATGTAGGTACATTTCTTACATAAAAGGGAATCTCTGTTAATAGTTCTCTTCTTGGTGCAGGCTTTCCTTTCCAAAGTAAATTTAGGCAGCTGAGAGGAGACAGAGAACTTTTCCTGCATCTGATGCATTTTGATTACTTTTAGTTCAAAATAATCTTTATGCCAAAGTGGCCCATCTTGAAGCAGCCTGCCCTTGGCCCTTTCCCTACTAATAAATGAATATTTCTCATATTATATCAGATTTTCTAGATTGTTAGAGATGATTGAGTATAACTGATGAAAAGTAGGAAGAAGATATATTATACAAGAGAAGTAACAAAATTTGTTAATGTCAAGAATATGATCCAACTAGGAAAACATTCCATTTTTTTAGTCCATTCTCTTTTATGTAACACAGTATTAGTGGACAAAATGGAAAATGGTGGGAGATAAATTACAATGAAGAGTGATCCATGTATACACTGAGGTGGTAGCAGTATCAGTACAGTTGAAAGAAAGTCAAATTATTTGGGTATTCTTCAATATCTATGTGCTTTTGTGACTAGTGGAAACCAGATATTATAATTGTGTCCATTTTAGGCCTGTGCATTCAGAGTGAACACAATGAGCACAAAGGTTGAGGTTAATACAAGAAGAGATCTATGGCTCAAAAGGGTATTACTACATACAGTCAGTTTCTCTGGAAAATTCTACTTCTTTTTTCCCATCTTCAGGTTTACTACTTCTCTTTTCTTTTCTTTTCTTTTCTTTTTTTTCTTTTCTTTTCTTTTCTTTTTTTCTTCTTTTCCCTTCCCTTCCCTTCCCTTCCCTTCCCTTCCCTTCCCTTCCCTTCCCTTCTCCTCTCCTCTCCTCTCTTCTCTTCTTTTCTCTTCTTTTTCTTTCTTTCTTTTTCTTTCTTGTGTAAAGTATAGCTGTTATCTTCACTGATTTCATGTAGTGTTTCCTCTGTATTGTTACCACTAACAGAGTAACTATCCTCTTGAACAAAACCATTAGGAATTTCTCATCACTTAGATTAATAATAAAAGGGAGCAAGACTAGAATCAGAAGTCAAGGAAGTGGGGGGAGGGGCAAGATGGCGGAAGAGCAGGGTCCCCAAATCACCTGTCCCCACCAAATTACCTAGATAACCTTCAAACCATCCTGAAAATTTACGAATTCGGCCTGAGATGTAAAGAGAGACCAGCTGGAATGCTACAGTGAGAAGAGTTCGCGCTTCTATCAAGGTAGGAAGACGGGGAAAAAGAAATAAAGAAACAAAAGGCCTCCGAGGGAGAGGGGCCCCGCGAGGAGCCGGGCTAGGGCCGGGGCGAGTGTCCCCAGGACAGGAGAGCCCCGTCCCGGAGGAGCAGGAGCTGCACCAACCTTCCCGGGCGGAAAGGGGCTCCCAGGGAGTTGGAGCAGGACCCAGGAGGGCGGGGATGCCCTCGGGCTCCCTGGGACACTAACAGACACCTGCGAGCGCAGGAGAGTGCGCCGAGCTCCCTAAGGGCTGCAGCGCGCACGGCGGGACCAGAGCAGCTCGGAGGGACTCGGGCGCGGCTCCAGGGAGGGGGCTGCAGGGCGGGAGCGCGAATCCAACAGCGCAGGCCCCGGAGCACAGGGCGCCGGGACACAGCCCAGGATCCGGCCTCCCCCCGGGACAGGCAGAGGCCAGGAGAGCCCAGGACAGCAAGGACGCTCCTGCCCCGAGCTGAGCAGATCAGCGGCCCCGCCCCGGAGCCTCCAGGCCCTGCAGACGGAGAACCGAGAGCCCCGAGCCCCGTAGTTCCTGCGGAGGCTAAATCCAGGCTTCCAAAGTTGCCATAGCAACTGCGGCTGTTCCTCCTGGGGCCCCACGGGGTAAACAACCCCCGCTGAGCCCGGCAGCAGGCAGGGGCAGAGCAGCTCCCCCAATTGCTAACACCTGAAAATCAGCACAGCAGGCCCCTCCCCCAGAAGACCAGCTAGACGGACCAGTGATACTCCCCCGTGTTCCAATACAACTTGTTTTTGGCCACTCTGCACTGAGCAAAATGACTAGAAGGAAAACCTCACCTCAAAAGAAAGAATCAGAAACAGCCCTCTCTCCCACAGAGTTACAAAATCTGGATTACACTTTAATGTCAGAAAGCCAATTCAGAAGCACTATTATACAGCTACTGGTGGCTCTAGAAAAAAAGCATTAAGGACTCACGAGACGTCATGACTGCAGAATTTAGATCCAATCAGGCAGAAATTAAAAATCAATTGAATGAGATGCAATCCAAACTAGAAGTCCTAACGACCAGGGTTAACGAGGTGGAAGAACGAGTGAGTGACATAGAAGACAAGTTAATGGCAAAGAGGGAAACTGAGGAAAAAAGAGACAATCAATTAAGGGACCATGAAGACAGATTAAGGCAAATAAA